AAAGTTGAAAGCATTCCAAGTATTATAAGAGTCGGTAAGTGTTTAATAAAAGTTATTTAAATATTAAAAACAATAATAATGTTTGAGTTAAAACACATTGAATTTACTAAAACAACAATGGATTTCATTATTTTGGGTGATATCTATGATTAGGCGGTCTCTTCACTGTTGAACAGGAGGAACAGGAGATCGCCTTTCGTATAGCCGTCGATCAGCTCAATAATGAAGCCCTACTCTCACAACAAAAGGTAACTTTGGTCGCACAGGTCGAGAGGGTAGACAATGTGGACAGTTTTCTAGCTCAACAAAAAGGTATGTTTTCATTCATATTACCCTAAATGTATCCAATATTTTTATAATCTTGATTATTTTTTTGCGTCTCTACTATAGTTTGCGGACTTTTACGCAATGGAGTGGTGGCTATATTCGGGCCGCAGTCGGCAATCCCTTCAATGCACGTGCAGTCCATTTGCGAGACCTTTGAGATCCCGCACATCGAGACCCGTCTGGACTATGAGTCCCATCGCACAGACCTCTCCATTAATCTCTATCCGCATCCAAACCTATTGTCCAGAGTGTATATGGATTTGATTAGACTGTGGGACTGGCAGTCATTTGCCATCGTCTATGACAGCAACGATGGTATGATAATTGTTGTGTGAAATGAAATAATATTTATTTAATAAAATAATTACAATTTTAAGGTATTATGCATTTCAAAGACTTTTTTGAGCGATCATTGAATGAAAGCTGGAATATAAGGACATTTCAAGTGATGGATGACATCCCATATCGAGATGTCTTTTGGAGAGTCAAACAAACAAATGAGAAAAATATTATTCTCGACGTTAGGAAAGAGATATTAGTGGAAGTCATGAATCAAGTAATTCATAACAATTTACTCAAATAATTACAACTAATATCTCTTATGTAATGAAAGGCACAACAGGTCGGACTCGTAACCGAAGAGTACAACTATTTGATAACATCATTGGTATTATTGTTTTTGATAAAATAATTTTTAATATATTTTTTAAAATATCACTTCAAAGGACTTATTAACACTGGATATGGAGGACTTCAGACACAGTCGGACTAACATAACAGCCCTTAGGATTATTGATGAAAATACACCGGAGTTTAGGAGTTTAGAAGAGGAGTGGCATATCTATGCCTCACGTTTCGGCAAAAGGCATTTCCTGAGAGCTCCGGAATTTTTCAATGTATTTGTCGCACACTTTCATTAATTATTACATCAATTTCTAGAATAACGCCAATTAATTGAATCCATAGACCGATTCGGTTCTCATATACGATGCCATTAAAGTATTGGTGATTGCGTTGAAAGAGTTGTACACATTTGATGTCCAGCCTATCAATTGCGAGGGCGAAGAACCGTGGGTTCACGGGAGCTCTGTTATCAATTATATGAGACAAGTATTGATTATATTCTTCATAGAAATTGAAATCATCACATCCTATGAGCTAATTCACCGTTAAAATAAATTATATATTTAGGTCCAGACCGAAGGTATAACACGAGTGATTAAATTTGACGATTTGGGTTTGAGGACAGCGTTTACTTTCGATATAATCAGTATAACACAAGAGGGACACGATATTGTAATATACATTTTTAAGACTCATTACATTTATAAGTGATTTTAACCTCGTTGTCAACCACTTAGACGGGAAAGTGGGCATTTGGTCGCATCGAGAAGAGCGAGTTGTGGAACAGACACCACGCAAAGTCGAAACAGGATCTGCCGATCATTCGGGTGACGACCGTAATCCAGGATCCGTTCACAATGATTGTGAAGAACAAGGATGAGCTGAAAGGGAACGATCGTTACGAGGGATATGTCGTCGATTTGGTCAACGAATTGGCAAAGATGTTGGAGTTTCAGGTTGTGATCCAATTGGTGGCCGACAGGCAATGGGGCGCCAAGAATGCGGAGACCGGAGAATGGAATGGAATGATCGGCGAAGTGATGAACGATATCGCGGACATAGCGGTCGCCGATTTGGGCGTCAATTCGGAGCGCGAGAGTGCCGTCGACTTTACGCTACCGTTTATGTCGACCGGAATCTCCATACTATACAAGAAGCCCATCACCAAAGAGACCTCGTTGTGGTCATTCTTGTCGCCATTTTCGGCCATTGTGTGGATCTATATGTTGGGCACATTCGTCGGCGTCAGTATACTGTTGTTTCTGACGGGACGGTTCACTCCCTACGAGTGGGACAATCCTCACCCGTGCCGTCAGGACGACAAAGTGCTCGAGAATGTGCTTAACGTCCGCAACAGCTTCTGGTGTACCATTGGGTCACTTATGCAACAGGGATCAGACATCGCACCCAAGTATGGCAAACATACCATCATTCAAACACACAGAATAGTACTAAATATTTTATTTTTCTATTGCGTTCAGAGCGATGTCAACGCGAGTAATAATAGCCATTTGGTATTTCTTTACGCTAATCATCATCTCCTCCTACACCGCAAACTTAGCCGCTTTCCTAACCATTGAACACATCCCCTATCCGTTTGAAAATGTTGAACAATTGGCCGCACAAAACAAGATTAAGTACGGCTGCACTAAAAACGGAGCGACGCATAAGTTTTTCAAAGTATTGTAACTTTTAAACCATCGCTTTCTCGTCATAATTTTATAATTGTTTTATAAATATATTCTCAATTTTTGTCCCCAAAGAACTCCAATATAAGTACTTATCAGAAAATAGCCGAAAATATGGACAAATGGGATATATTTATGGGCGGAGGAAAGGCAAGGAATTACGTGGATAAAGAGGAAGGCCGATACGCCTACTTCATGGATGCGGCGCCCATTGAATATGTTGTCGAGCGGTATTGCAATTTGACACAAGTCGGCGGACAACTCGATAACAAAGGCTATGCAATCGCAACGAGAAAAGGTACGGAGAAAACACAAATGCTATTAATATGTTGTGTTATCTCTATTATGAAACCATATAATAATAATGTGTTTGGGAAATGAAGGGTCGCATCTGCGGAACCCATTTTCTCAGGCAATACTCAAACTACAAGAGGACGGAGTATTGCATCAGTTGAAGGACCGGTGGTGGAAGCAGAAGGGAGGCGGACAGTGCATCGCGAAAGCATCAAGCTCGCTCACTGAGCTCGGCCTCAAGAATTTGGGCGGCGTTTTTCTCGTACTTCTCGGCGGATCCATTGCCGCACTTCTCATGGCTTTCTGCGAATTCTTCTATAAGATTAGAAAAGAAAATAAAGATGTATTCAAAATATATTGTCATTAAAATTATATATAAATTTATAACTTTTTTTGCCATTCATTTGTGTTTTACAGAAAGAGGAAGACATTGTGGACGAACTGATTGAGGACTTAAAGTTTGCGATGAAAGTGCAAGTGTCGAGTAAACCAACCGCAGTGTCCAG